CTTCGTAAATCTCTCAGGGCCCCACTAAACTGCTGAGGCTGGTCTCAAACTTGAGATTGATCCTTCTGCCTCACTCTACCTGTTCACCACTATGCCTGGTTCAAAGAAATGTTTCAAAAAAAGACAACAAAGAACCTATATTGGTTAATTTGTACTAAGGTAGGAAAACAAAGTATTTTCTTTGGCATAGCTCCACCCAGGTGTGGCTAATGTTCATTATTTATTCCCTCCTTCCATTTCTTAGAAATAGCCTAAAAGGTTTATCTGTTTCTTTTTCTGTCTCTTTCAGTACTGAGGATTGAACCGAGGAGTGCTCTGTCACTGAGCTGCCTCCTCAGCCCTTTTTATTTTCTATGTTGAGGCAGAGTCTTGATAAGTTGCCCAGGCAGGCTTTGAACTTGTGATCCTCCTGCCTCAGGATCTCGAATCACTAGGGTTATAGGCATGCACCACCCTGCCCAGCCTATTTTCTGTGATTTTAATTTAAATAATTTTTTCTGAAACATTAAATTATCTGCTAATATATATGTTTTTCCAACAGCAAATGCTTCTTCTACCCTGTCCCCACTAAAAATGTCTCCCCAAAGCTTCTCAGCCCTGTGGAAGTCTGGGTTTGTTCCCACTGGGCCCGTGAACCATGAGTTGTGAAAATAACCTGTCATTTCCTACATAATGTGATATATGTCTGTAATATTATCTCACAGGCTGGTTATAAAAAAAAATTATGGAAAAAGACAGCTGCAAGAAAAAGACGCTTGAGGGAATTTGTGTTCTGCAATAAAACCCAGAGTAAACTCCTAGATAAGATGACGACATCTTTCTGGAAGAGGCGGAACTGGTACGTCGATGACCCCTATCAGAAGTACCACGATCGCACCAACCTCAGAGTGTAGAGAAGAGTCTCGGCTCCTGTCCCTGAATGTCCTCTTTGTCCTCATGACACCTTGCTAATGAGTGAGCTAGGACTTGAAGTGAATTGTACTGGCTGATGTCAAACACATAACACCAGTATTAAACTTGAGGAAGTCTTACAGTGAGTGCGTGCTGGGATCTGGCCAGGGAACTGAAGTTCAAGGTTGTGCGTGGTTTTTCACCTCAGTGCTGGTTTTACTAGTCACCCCAGTTAGGCTTCTTTAGCTGCAAAGGCGAGGTCAGAAGACTAACGCCAGCTGGTGAGCCCCAGCAGTGACCCCATCTAAGGACACAGCCTCAGAGGAGCTAGGACCCTTCGGCAGCCCCACCTGGGCTGGGGGGGGAGGCTGCCACTCTGCCGGTGCCTGGCTCACCACTCCTGCTGGCTCAGCACGTGGGCAGCCTGACTTCTTTGCTCCCCTCGCTCTGCAGGGCTTGTGCTTAGGAGTAGCTCCCATCCCCTCGCAGTAACTGTAGCCTGTAGCCTTGAGGTTCTACCTCCTGACCTTCATCTGCGGAGAGACTCCAACTGGGGGGTTCCCACATACCCAGGCCTCACTGGTGTCACCTCTGGTGTAGGGATCAGCTCTTCCTAGGTCAGGAGCTCCCAGCCCATTCGGTTGTCTGCTGCTTCACTGGGAGCAGAGACTGGTGACAGGAGCAGTTTTGCTTAGAGGTGAGCACAAGAGGCGCACGCCTGGCCTCTTGAGTTCTGAGTGCATGGTTCATGGGGGTTCTCATGCAGTTTTTTGGTGCGGGATGTTTCCATAGAAGAGTAAATGCATAACCTTTCAGTGTGAGGTGCCCTCTTGAGACGGGGCTACACAAAACAAAGACTTTGTACCCACGTCTCAAGGGACACTGTGTTTCTCAAATTCAGTTTGACCTCTTGAGGTTTCATATTTTCATATGTAAGAGTAAACTCTTCCCAAAATACTCCAAAAATGCATTGTAGAATTAAGAGGGGGAGGTGATTTCAGGAGCGATGCAGGTGGCTACACAGGCTTTCTGTGGAGAGGGCTGGTAGTGGCTCTCAGCTCCCTCACCAGACTCCTCGGGAGGCGCTTCAGAAAGCACTGTTGTGTCAAAGCCACTGCTAAATAGAACGAAGGGGGTTGCTGTGCCGGCCCCTTCCTCCAGGGTTGGCAAGATGGGCTCCTCTCCTGCCAGGGAGGTAAGCACATTGAAGTCAAGGTGCATCAGCAGGAAGTTGGGGGTCATTGAGTGAAAAGGGGCAGCAGTAGAATGTTCTGAAGCCAGAGGGCCATGTGTGTCTGTTTCAGGCTCTTGCTCTCTGGCACGCCTCTTGCGGGGTGAACAGGTGTCTTAAAAGCTAGGGAGCAGGACCCTTTCCCAGCCTCCATGGTGATGTGAACATGGACGACTAGTGTCTGTTGCAGGCCTCAGAGCAACTCAGCTTCTCTAGGCCAGGGACAGCAGGGGAGAGAGGAAGACCAGCAGGCAGGACCTCAGCATCCAGAGATGGGTTGAGGTGAACGGGCCCATGGGCACTCCAATCTGGGGATAGGAGGGCTTATCAAAACCATTTTATAGGGGCTGGGGCTGGGGCTCAGAGGTAGAGTGCTCGCCTAGCATGCGTGAGGCCCTGAGTTCCATCCTCAGCACCACATAAATATAAAATACAGATATTGTGTCCACCTGTAATTAAAAAATAAATATTAAAAAAACTATTTTCTAGTTTGACAGTAAAACAGCTCTCATTAAATGATATTCAAGCATGCTCGTAATTCAGAAAGTGTGTGGATAGTCTATTCAAGTATAGAATTTATTGGACACCCGCCATGTCCCAGTGTAGTTAGTTATAAGACTGGGCCCAAATCACAGAGCTGCTGAACTCCATGCCAGCCATGCAGAGGAATCACCGTGGACTCCTGATTTAAATTAGAGGACATAGAAGCTCAGCATTAAATAAGTTTCCCACAGGTACGATTATGTGTCCCAGGACAGGAGTCAGATTCCTGGGGTCCTCTCTGTCGCCCTCAGTCTTCTGACAGCAAAAGGAAATTCTTAATCTAAATCAACAGTGACTGATGTAGTACTGTAAGTACTAAATCATTTGTAACACTATTACTTCACCTGTTTTGGGTTTGTTTTTATAGTCCTGGGTGAACCCAGGGCCTCACACATGCTAGGCAAGCACTCTACCCCTGAGCACATCCCCAGCTCTGGACTTGAACTTGCCCTCCTGCCTCAGTCTCCCAAATAACTGAGATTACAGGAGTAGCCACTGCACCATGCCTAGTTCATCTTTGAAATTTTATTTGTTTGGGCTGGGGATGTGGCTCAAGCAGTAGCGCGCTCGCCTGGCATGCGTGCGGCCCGGGTTCGATCCTCAGCACCACATACAAACAAAGATGTTGTGTCCGCCAAGAACTAAAAAATAAAAAAACATTAAAAATCTCTCTCTCTCTCTCTCTCTCTCTCTCACTCTCTCTTTAAAAAAAAAAAGAAAAGAAATTTTATTTGTTTATTTATTCTTTCTTTTAGAGACAGGGTCTCACTGAAGTGCTTAGGGTTGCAAAAAGTTGCTGAGGCTGGCTTTGAGCTTTCAATCCTCCTGCCTCAGCCTCCTGAGCTGCTGGGATTACAGGTGTGGCCACCACACCCAGCTCATCTTTGACATTTTATAACTGCTGTTCTGTTATTTGTCAACTCTTTTTGGGGGGTGGGGTATCAGGGATTAGACTCAGGGGCACTCAACCACTGAGCCATGTCCCCAGCCCTATTTTGAATTTTATTAAGAGACAGGGTCTCACTGAGTTGCTTAGTTCTTCTCTTGTTGAGATCAGCTTTGAACTCCTGATCCTCCTGCGTCAGCCTCCCGAGCTGCTGGGATCACAGGTGTGCCCCACTGTGCCTGGCTATTTGTCAATACTAATCTGTTGGCACTGGATCTGGCTCAATGAAAAACAGAATGGATTTCCAGCCTTCCCATCCCCCCTCCTCCCTGCTGCCCTCTGAACCTCCTCCTTTTCTGCTGCCTCTTGTCAAACAGGCACAGTCCTTGTGTCAGACAAGTAGACTCTGGGACTATAAGAACAACAATAATGGGCCTGGCTTTGATATTCTCAAGTCTCCATAGCCACCCAAGAGGCTTGAGCCCACCTGTTGCTATTGAAGGGTGGGCCCTGCAGGGCTGAGTCATCACTACTCCACCTCGTGCGCTGTGCATGCACGGCGCTCTTCTCATCTGCACAGGTGCCCCTGTCTGTAGGTGGACAAGTGCTCAGGAGGAAAGCAACAGACCACAGGTCTCTGCAGAATCGCAGCCAGCTACTCTGTCTTCACAGCTGCCCAGTCTCCACTGATGATCTTTAGACTGTAAAATTGATGCTTTCAGGGAGATCATCTGGTTTTGCAAACACAGTATCACTTAATTTTCTTCCTCCCATAATCCTATGCAGTTCGAATGGGCCCAAGTTTCCATGCCAGCTGGTGATTTTTTTTTTTTTAAAGAGAGAGTGAGAAAGAGAGAGAATTTTAATATTTATTTTTTCTTAGTTCTCGGCGGACACAACATCTTTGTTTGTATGTGGTGCTGAGGATCGAACCCAGGTCGCATGCTAGGCGAGCCCGCTACTGCTTGAGCCACATCCCCAGCCCGCCAGCTGGTGATTGAGCATTCTGTTTCTAATCCTTGTTAGGTGCGCACACACACGGTCCTGGGGTTGAACCCAGGAGCATACCCCCAGCCCTTTTCTAAATTTTCCTTTGAATTGGGTGCAGTGGTAGAAGTTTGTTATCCCAATGACTTGGTAGGCTGAGATAGGAGAATCAAAAGTTCAAGATTAGCCTCAGCAACTTAGCAAGATCCTGTCTCAGAAGGGTTGGGGATGTGTCTCAGGGGTGAAACCACCCCTGGGTTTCATCCCCAGGACCAATTTTTTTTTTTTTTAACTTGGAGACATGTTCTCACTAAATTGTTGAGCCTGGCCTTGAATTTGTGATCCCTCTGTCTCAGCCTCCCAAGTTGCCAGGATCACAGGCATACCATTGGTCCTAGCCTTTCCAGGTTTTTAAGGAACATTTCCTCTTTCCTCATAAGCCCAATATTACAAGGACATTTCTTAAAAGAAAGATGTTAAGATTTTATTCAAGCATTATAACAAAACAGCAAACATCAGCTTTTGGAATACTGTCATTCACATCCCTTCAATGCACGGTCCAATCTCCGATGGTCCTATGGACACGGCAGGGAGCACAGTCGCTGTCCACAGCGCCTGCTCCTTGCGTGTCTGGCCACAGGGTGAAGCGCATTCTCTGCCACTCGAGTGCTGTGCGGGGCCAGGGGAGGGCTTATGGCGGTGGTGTACACGCACTGCACAGACACACAGACAGTATCACAGAGGATCCACATAAAGGCCAGCAGGGCTGAGAAGGGAGGGTGTGGCGAGGCTCTGCTGAGGATGGAGAGCAGGAGATCCCGCTCACCTCAGAAGCAACAGGTGCTGGAGGCCAACAGCTAAACGTCATGAAGGAGAAGTCAGACTTCCAAGCTAGTGTGTCCGTAAGTCACGCACTGAAATCATCTGGTGGCATCTTCTAAACAGAACGTACCACTGCTTGCACACTGATAGGCATTCGCATTCACACAGATACACAGCGTGGTGGGTGAGGAAACACGTTTGCCAAAAGCATGACAGCTGCTCCCAGGTGTGCATGTGTGTCCCCAAGAGGCAACTCCCTAGTTGGTACTGGGAAAGCGCAGGGCACTCGGCAGCAGGTGCCTCCCATCTGTCTCTGACCGTGGACTGACTGCACAGCCTTCTACAAGGTGGGGTGCACCCTGCTGGTTCTGGCACACTTGATAATCTGGACCTGTCTACCTTTCCATTGTAGAATCAAAAATACAGTATGACCCATTGTTAAAGCTATTGTTATTTTGACAAAATAATAAAAAAAATTGGTAGAAAGCTGCCTCACTTGAGCTTTTTGCACTTGTTTCTGGTCACACTGAGTATGCCCAACTAAGTAAACACACTGTAAAGGGTACACCATTCCTCATCTGGGACCACACAGGGATTCTCTTCTCTAACAGGTTCAGGAATTGGGGGGTGTGGGCCAGAGACCGAGAGCAGAGGCCTATGACCTCTCATCCACGAAACTACTTTTAGGTGGATTTTCGTAAATCCTTATAAACTTCAGAATCACCATCAGAGGCCCTGTGGGAAGGAGGGATTCCAGTGTGTATGTCTGGCCACAGTCAACTTGGACTAGACCCCTTTGCATGACAGCACCCTCGGCAGCCAGTGTGCAGGCCTTGGGTGGGTCTCTAACCGGGCCTGCTTGCAGCCGGGTTGACAGCTCTGAGTGACTTGGGACACTACTTCTCTAGCCTTGAGGGCGAGTCTAAGAACAAACACAATCCAATTGTATGAGACCTGCACGGTGGCCAAGGCATGCAAGACACAGGGACACCAACTCTAAGCACAATACACTAGTCCTACGTTTTGGCTCAGCTCTGGGGTGGCAGCTACCTCAGACCTACTGTCACTTCATCCAGGTGCTGCTCAAAATTCCAGTCTAAGCAGGGAGTTCCCTCAGAGCTGAACTGCCCTGGGAGGGGTCCTGGCTTGTGTGGAATCTTCAAGGTTGGCTCAGCTCACATCCTGCAGGTCAGGAAGGGAGCAGAAGGCAGAGCCACAGCTGCCCAGGGTTTCCAGCCCCCTTGGTGAGGTGTGTCCACCTGCTGGGGCGTATCTGAAACAGCACTTGTTTCTGCCTCTGTTCTCTGCAAGGTGCTCAGTGGAGGCTCCTCTGCCTGGGGAGATCAGCACTGATCACTACGAGGGAGAAACAGTACTTTGCCAAGCACTTTCGAGACCCTCGACATTCTTCAAGCAGCTCTGCAAAGTGCCCATGCCCAGGAAGACTGCCAAGTGAGCCCTACAAGGGTTCTGCAGGCTGCCCAGACCCAGGCAGGAGTGGAGCTTCCTGTGCCCTCCCGCCGCCCGGGGGCTTTGCTGGGCTCTCCAGCCCCTGCCCTCCAAGCTGCCGCCTCGCAACTATGGCAAGAAGGAACCATCTTCCTTCAGGGTAGCTGGATTTGAAAGCTTTAAAAGCACATCAGAGACATGATCTAGAATTGATTTTTTTTTTAACAATTCTGTTTTTACAGTTTTCTCGCTTATTGGAACCTCTGGCAGCCCTTGCAAGTTCATTATGTTAAGCCAAAGCCATAAATATGTTCATCAGAATCCAAAGGAGTAGTACCAAGAGCAAAAAAAAAAAAAAAAAAAAAAGTTTTTAAAAAAATTGCTTTGTTTGCATTTACAGGACTAAAAACTAAGTCTGCAACAGATAAATTACAAGTGTACAACTCAGCAGCACAGGGGAGATCTCTGACGTTTTGAAAGCACACTGCTCTCTGTAGTGACCATCCCAGTGGAGGGGACATACTGACCTCAGAAGGCATGACAGTCACCCCACTATCACCTTTCCCTTAGCCTCTCCCCAGCAAAACAAAGGAAGAAGAGAAGAAAAGGGGAGGGAAGAAAGAGAAATCCCGAGAGGCGAAGGGCGTGAGGCAAGGCGGAGTCCGCGCGTGGATCTGGATGGTGACCAGCTCTTTAAGGCAGAGGAGAGACACTCTGTGGATCCGGTGCCGATGGCTCATCTCACTCACGTGGTTTCGGTGGCCGAGGACGAGGTACTCTTCTTCCTGAAGCGGGATCGCTGGAGTCTAGGCGGTGCCTGGCAGAGAGAACAGAACAGATACCCCTCCGTGTGGCACGAACGTGTGACCTCAGGACGGCACCAGAGCTGTGTGAGGACATCAGCAGGAGCGCAGCAGCGAGCAGAGGGGTCTTCCTGGGTCTTCTCGCACCCCATGAAGCGGAGCCTCCCACAGGGCTGCTCCATGGGCCCCAGTCCCTGGCTGCCTGGGGAGCATTGTGCAGAGGGCACTGTCTCATTGTCCCCAGCAGTGACACAGAGGGGAGCAGTGACGCAGAGGAGAACTGCTCTGCTCTGGCCTCTGCCGCCTCTGCACTTCCTCTGCGCTGGCCTTGCATCCCCTGGCACAGGCTCGAGGGCCCAATGCCCACTCAGGATGCAAAGCCATTGTGCTCCACAAACCACAGCTCACAGGCAAGTGAACTGCACCAAGGGTCCCCTCAGCCCACAGGGGACTCTCACGAGGCCCTCCTTCCATGGGACATAGGCCCCAGCTGCTGGGAAATGAACGGGAAGGCCTCTCCTGCAGAGCCCCTCAGCCCGTGCCTGTGCATGTCCCAGGGAGGAGGGCTTTGTCCACTCTGTGTCCTCTCACACCTTCCGACTCGCCCCTGGGCACCACCTGGAAAGCCCCCTCTGTGGAGGCTTTCCCGAGCCCTCGCCACACACAAGCAGTCTGCCTCACTGCCTCTGGCCCACCGAGCTGCCCATGATGGCTCATCACCTGAGTATGGGTGGAGGGCGTTCTGCTTCCTGGGATCAGGCCCACATCCAGGTCAGTGCCTGGCGGTTGCTCCAAGGGAGGGAGCGGATGGACCAAAGCAGGCGTGGGCCTCCTCACCAGCCACCACAGGCCACAGGCCCATAGGGGGTGACCCCGCTTCCTAACTCCAGCCTCTTGGCAGGTAAAGCAGGTGGCGAGGAGGCTATGCGGCTTCAGAACCCAGGAGCAGAGGGGCTTGGCCACCAGCCTGGGAGGCCGGGCCAGGTAGGGCTCTAGCCACTTCCAGCTCTTCAAAGACTGGCCCATGTATGCCTCATCTCAGAAGGAACCTGGTGGACCCTGCAAGTGAGGGTGGTCCTAGCACAGCTCTGGGGTGACCAGGACACTTGGCCACTGTGCTAGGCGGGGAATAGCAACTCCTCCTCATCTCACTCTAGGGGTCTCCACTCTGGGGAGGGACTCTGGGACTCCCACCCTGACCTCAGGATTCAGGAGATGGGGAACTGGAAAGGAGACTGAGGGGGCAGAGAGGATGTCTCTGGGGTCCCTGAGTCTGTTGGTCTTGCCCCCGAGACATGACTGGTGAGTCCCCACCAAGTCTCAGAGCAAGGCCCATGAGCTCCCCTGTGTCCCTCCTGCTGCCGACATCTGTCCACACCTGTGGACATGTTGGCCTTGCTAACTCTAAAGGGCTGTGCCCCGAGGCCATTTCATGACCAGCCTTTCTGCACCAGGTGCCTCAGTGTGTTGGAGATGACGAGAGAAGGCCCATCTGTAAAGACACCAAGCAGTGAGGTCTGGGCTCTCCCTTCCCCAAGACTCTCCAGGTTGATTTCTTCACACATCGCGGCTGGTGTCAAGGGAAACGAGACCCCTTGCCTCCTCTCTGTCTCCCACTGCCCCAGCCTTGGTGCCTAGGTGGGTCCTGCCTGTTCGCTGAAGGGAGATCTTGTTACCCCAGCACCAGGGGGTGCTGGGTACCCCGAGAGGCCACTGCTGGGGCACCCAGGTCTCAAGAGCAAAGCGCCTGGGCAGACACACGCTCCAACCCGCAGCCCCCGACGCCGGTACCTCCAGGGGCGGATCCATCCTCTTTGGTGCTTTATACTTGTACATGAAATCCAGCAGGTCCTCCTCCTCGTCGTCAGAGAACGCCAGTGGGTTGCGGGCCTGGAGGGGCTCCCAGGCCTTCACACCACCCTCGTCCACATCTCCCTCAACCACTGAATGTGCGTGTACAGTCTACACGAGGAGAGAGGGCGCAGGAGGCATCAGCGAGGAAGGGGCTGGCAGGGTGGGGTTAGGCTCTACCACACGCCAGGCCTGTTAGGACAGCCGCAGCCCAGGTTTAGGAGGCACCAAGGACTTGGGGCCTCCCTGCAGGGCCAGGGCTGTGAGAGGACGATGGCAAGGCACTGGGCACAGGGCAACCCACGCTCAGCCCACACCAGCCGAAGAGATGGGCACACTGCGTCCCCGTGGTCCAGACCTACGGCTGTCCCGGCTGGCCAGGGAAGGCTGTGCTCTAGACAGGACAGATGGGTGACGCACGGGAACCCAGCTACCTAGGTCACACGTGCAACCGTGACGGCACTGCATTGCACTTGGGTGGCCAGCTCCATGCTCTTAGAGACAGGAAGCAGCACCCTGGAAGCCATAGTGATGACCCACACAGACCCTCACTTCCAAGGCCCCCCGCCCTGGAAAGCAAAGAAGCCCAGGAAGGAGTCTGAACGTAGCCGCTTTGGAAAAACAAGACAGCAAGGGTCCTATTTCAGGCTGCCCTGAAGAACCCACAGGAGGCCCGCAGAGTCTGCCCACGTCCTGCCTTGAGATGTAAGCTGTCCCTGCCCGCCCAGCTCATCTGATGTCCACAGTCTTGGCCTCCTATGCCTCACACACTGCCTTAGCCAGTCACAGAAGGCCCCTCACCTACCTCACCCATCTCGTCCAACCACCCTTCTGTCTGCAGATGGAAACCTGAGCTCCTCCTAGGACACCTGATACTGCTCCAAAAAATTAAAAAAAAAAAAAAAAAGTTCAGCCAACAAGTCCACTGTCTCCACAAAGGGGACTGGCTGCAGAGGGGCCCAGGGGCCCAGCAAAGCAACACTACCTCATCTTGGACAGCCTCTTCCATTCTGCTGCCCTTCTCCGTGGCAGCCTGCGGGGGGCAGCACCAGAGCACGGCTGCCTTGGGGAGGGATCTGCCCAGGCTGCACCTCAGGGAGGGCCTGAGGCATCCATCTCCCATGCGGTTCAGTCTGTGCCTCCCTCAGCCTGTCTACCCTGCGTTTAGGCTGTTCTCAGGTCCTTTCCCTGCCCAAGTCCAGCCAGACTCAGGACCTTAAACGCACACGATCTCACAGGCCTCTGGGAAGACTGACCCCCCAAGGGCTTCCCGTACCAGAGACCTGGAAAGCTTAGGGTCTGCACCAAGCCATTGGTGCTACACAACCTGGCTCTCCCATGGGCTCCCAGCCCAGGCCAGCAACAGTGTCCTGAGGTGAATGGCCATGCTGGTCCTCCCGCACACCCTCTGAGCACCTGCCCAGGGCTGGGTGCACAGAAGCCACGTCCTCTGATGTGTGGCCCTAAGTCAGAGCTGGCACCCATCAACTGGACACACATGAGGAGCACGAGACATAACCTAGGACCCAAGCCCCCCAGAGCAAGGCAGACCTGCAGAGGCCGTCCCCATCCTGGGCCTGGGGCTGAGTGTGGTGGGGTCTGTGCCTCTGCACACCCACATGTGGTTCCCTCTCAGTCCTGCCCCAGGGCTTTCATTGTACTGATGCCTGTGGGTGCCAAGGTGGCCCAGTGTCCTCTCAAGATCCTAGGGGATCTCACAAGTTAACCCACTCTCCTGGCCTGGAGGCGCTGTGGCTGAGCAAGGAACTCACACATTACTAGGATAACAATGACCACCAGAGGGGCTTCCCGCCTGCTCTCCACACTGCGCCCTTCAGCAAAGACCAAGGGTCAGAGAGAGTGACCCTCCAGGCCCTGAAGAGTGCAGGTGAGCCCAGCTACTCAAGCAGGAATAGAGAGCTAGCGCCCAGCGGAGCAGAGGCTGCAGCAAGGGACACTGGTATGGGCAGTCAGGGGTCGGAAGCAGCTCCCAGAAGAGAAACACCCCTGGCCACGGAGGCCCTAGCCATTGATGGGCGAGTGTCCTGAACCAGCCTCCGAGCCTCAGGGGGCTGCTTGGTGAGTCTGAGTCTCAGCTTCCTGTCCTCCTCCTCCTTGGGGGGAAGAGGGACCTTGGCCACACCCCAGGTGTAGGGCAAGCACCTCTGACCTCCTGCTCCTCCCTGGCCTCCTGCTCCTCCTGACCTCCTGCTGCTCCCTGACCTGCTCCTCCCTGACCTCCTGCTCCTCACCAACCTCCTGCTCCTCCCTGACCTCCTGCTCCTCCCTGACCTCTTGCTCCTCCCTGAACTCCTGCTCCTCCCTGGCCTCCTGCTCCTCCCTGATCTCCTGCTCCTCCCTGAACTCCTGCTCCTCCCTGACTCTCTGCTCCAGCCAGCCCTGGGCCACCCCCCACAGAGCAGCAGAGTCCCCCAGGTTAGTGAGCACCCCACACGGCACACGTTAGCCAGCAAACATGTCTGGAGAGCATGCCCAGGAGGCCATGACACTTACATCCACGTCCGCCACCGCCGTGGGGAGAGAAGAACACAGTTAGGAGAGGCCCTGGGGCGAGAGCCACACCCACCCATACACACACACACACGCGCGTGCGAGTGTGAAAACACACGCGTGTGCACACACACACACACACCTCCTCCTGTGTGGCCAGGGGAAAGACACTGCCCAGCACAACTCTCTCCTCCCGCCGTTCTCCCTAGCAGATGGAAAGAGGAAGGACCCTCTTAAACCATGTCCCAGGGGTGCTCTGTGCCTGGGCTCCGGTGGCCATCCCGAGTGTAGTTCTCTGTCCATGGGGGCAGGTGGGGCCTGACGGCAGAGGAAGAGAAAGGGAGGCGGGCAGTGGGGAAGGAACTGGCTGCAGGGGCGGGGAGGGAACCAGGTGCACAGGCAGAAAGGACAGCACAGATCAGCGGCCGCCTCTACCGCTCCTGGGTAGCTCTCGTGGCCCCCCATGCCTATCAGCCTCCCAGCTGCCCCTTGTCCTTCTCTACCCTCCATCCTGTGCTGGGACCTGCATTTACAGCCCTTAGGAGACTCCCGCTCTGCTCAGGGGTCCTCGGGACAATTTGTGGCCCAGGCTTCGGTCCGAGCAGCCCCCATAGGACACCACTCCAGGGGACCTGGAGGGAAGCATCCTGCGCACTGAGGCCTTCTCATGGCCACAGCGGACCTCCCCAGTACCACCTGCTGCCACTGCAGAGGCCATCTAGCCCAACCCACCACCTGCTTGTGCTGGCCCAGCGGCACCAGAGCCAGCGGCCAGGCAGCAGTGGGCAGTGTGTGCCCACCCCATGTCCTCACACAGTCGACAGGCTGCAGGCTGGGGCCTCCCTCCTTCTGAGCCAAGCTGCATGCTCCCTGGGGAGCAGCGAGGGCCACAAGGGCTTAGACAGTCCAGCACCGTCTAGTCTCTGGTGTATCCAGTTAAGGCCAGGCAAACAGGAGCAGGCCACCAAGCTGTCACACACAGTGAAGACAGCAGCAGGCGTCCCTGTCCAGAAGTGGAGGCCTCTTCCCTCCCTGGAGTCTCCTGGCTACTCTAGTAGTGTGGTACTTCCACTAACGGCAGTCCTTGGAAACAGTAGTCCTTCAACAACCATTGCACAACCATTTCACAACAGTGCAGAGAGCGAGGAAAGCAGGGACCTTTGTCTCTATTTTAAGATGAAGAAACTAAGGCGCAGAGTAGTTAGGAGATTCACAGAAAGCTGCACAGCTCGTAAGTGGCAAAGCAGGACCAGGGCTCCCTTGGCTGCACCAGGACGACACCCCTGGAACCACAAGGCTCCAGCACTGCAGAGTCTTGGCAAGTTCCTGGGCCTTACTTCCCACAGTACAGGGAGGCATGACTGTGTGGTGACAAAGCAATAACTGCACACATTTTGGGGGGGGGCGGGGGGGGCACTAGTGATTGCACCCAGGGGTGCTCTGCCACTGAGCCACATTCCAGCCCTTTTTATTTTGAGGCAGGGTCTCACTAAGTTGCTGAGGCTAGCCTTGAACTTGCAACCCTCCTGTCTCCATCTCCCAAGTTGCTGGGGTTACAGGCATGGCCACAGCCCCTGGCTGTGTTACTCCTTTCTTCAAGAGCTGGAGGTTAACTCTGCCCTTGATGTGGGATGGACATGGTGACTCACTTCCACCAAACAGGATGAGAACTTTGAACTGGCCACTTCAAAGACAAGGTGATGAAGGGCACTGTGGCTTCCTGCCTGCCCTCTCTCTGGGGTCACCTGCTCTGGGCCAAGTCGTCTGCCACACTGCAAGGACATCAGTGGCCCTAGAGAGGCCATGTGGAGAGGAACTGAGGCCTCTGGCCCACGGCCACTAGAGGCCACATTGATGTGAACTTCCAGCTCCACCCCTCAGATGATGGCGCACTGGCCACCATCTTGACTGCAGCCCCCAAGGCATTGCACACGCCCCAAACACTACCCACAGGAGTAGTGTGTCTGCTCTGCAGTAGTGACCCTACTGGGCCCCCTGGCCATGCAGCTGGGAGGGAGCCGAGGTCCCTGCTCGGGTTAGAGGCCCTCCTTAGGCGAGCCAGCAGCTGCGGGGGCTGGAGACGCTGCTTACTCACCTTTCCGGGTCCTGCAGGTGGCGCAGCAGGTGCACACTGTGGGAACGGGGGCAGCGTCAGTGAGGACCCCACCCAGGAGCCAGCCCCAGGCACAGGGAGGCCGAGAGGGTGGGGATCCCGTGCTGAGAGCACGGGGCTCCCAGGAAGGGAGTCTCTGCTCCAAAGCACCTGTCCCCTGGTGCCCAGAGCCGGCCTCGAGTCCTGCAGCCCTAGGGCAGGTGTGGGCAGATTCAGGTATCCTCCAGGAAATTGCTCCAACCACCCACTCCCAGAAGCCTCTCCTCCAGACCGTTGGGTTCAGAAAGTTCTCTGGGACACCTCCCTAGACTAGTCCCTGAACCCCAAGTGCGTAGTGTCTGGCCTTCTGGCCCAAGTCCTGGTTGGCTGCTGTCCCGCCTGCTCCCTGGCTGTCGGAGCACAGCTGGGCCTTGGCACATGGTGGGTGCTCGTTAAGGATTTGCTGTGATCCAAATCCACTCTTCCGACTCCCTGTGTGCCCTTCCCTGTGGCCAGCGCTAGGCGTCCCACTCATGGTGCCCTGTCCCTCCCATCCTTTCTGCAGGGAGGGCAACCTCAGTCCCTGCCTGCCCTGTCCCTTCAAGGGCCTGAAGCTCCACACGCTGAGAAGGTGGGGTGGCTGCACTAGCAGCACCAGCCTGGGCGTGGGACGCAGGGCAGCACCATCCTTCTCCATCCCTGGTGGCAGGGCCTGCGTCCTCCTCAGACCACAGGCAGCGCCCTGTGTGCCAGGTGTGTTGGGCACCTGTGCAGGGGGCACGGGCAGCCAGAGAGGGAGGCAGCCTGGGTCCCCTGCCAAGAGCCTGCAGAGCGGAGGGCCGCGCAAGTGCCATCTGCCTCCCTCCATCACAGCTTCCTGCGCCCCCTTCTCAAGACGCACAGGGCTCTTCCTCATTCCCCAGTGGTCCCATGGGTCCAGCAGAGCTCTACCTCTTGCTAGGGCCTGGCAGCCTTCCTCCTGAGACTCGCTCTCCTCCTCACTAGGCAGCAGCCTCCTGCCTGGAAGGGCGTCTTCCTGCTCAGTGTGTCCCTGCGGGCTTGTCTGTGGCAAGGCACACACTTCTGTCCTGTGTGAACCGTCACCTAAACCTCATGCTGCTTCGTCCTTTCCTCACGTGGCCTTGCGCGCTCAGGACCCACCCGTGCATCCCGCCATGGCTCCAGTGTCCGCAGGACTCCATGGGCACAGCTGCCACCTCTCCTGTGTCTCTCCAGGAGCCTTCCCAGCCTGCATCTGTCCCTGTGCCCTCCTCACAGTGCTGAGCGGCCCGTCGGGGTCACCTGGCCCTTTTGTAAAGGAGAAGCTGCGCGATCGGCTCCTTGGAGCCCCATGGGGACTGTCTTGAGAAGCTCCGTGGCTTGGCCCTGCAGGGACAAGTGCAGCCTCTGCTTGGTGGAGTCCTGGAGTCCGGGCCCAGCTGGCAGAAGCCCGTGGCTCCCCAGCTCTGCCCTGCCCCACCCCTGTGGATCTGAGGCCGAGAAGGCTGGGCTGACTTCCTGCCCCTGCCCTGGGCCTTGGCCACCTTTCCTCGCTGAGGTGGCTTTTATTTTAGGCCCGACAACATCTGGGAAGAGCACCACCCAGCCTCACTGTGGGTCAGCATCGCCCTTCCCTGTCCCCAAACCAGCTCAGGAGAGGGCAGCGCGGAAGTGGCTACCACAGCACAGAGTCAGCCACCAGGGTGGCTCTGCTGCCAGGCGCAGACCAGCTCCCAATCCAATCATTCCCAGCCCTTGTCTACCTAGTGCTGGGCAGAGAGCATGCTCTAGACCCAGGAGACATCCTCTTTTAGACACCCAAGCCTCTCACGCACAGTTCTGCTCTGAACACCCACAGGGAGTTCCAGGAAGGAGGCCCGGGTTCCGGTGCTATGCAGCCTTGGCACGGTGCATGACCCCTCTGGGCCTGCTTCCTCTACTTGAGTCTATGGGGACAGGGGCTGCAGGGCCAGAGACACCACTTCCTCCCACAGCAGGACTCCAGCTCAGCTCATCCCGCCAGGGATCTCCCTGCTGCCGGCAGCCCCCTTCCCTCCTGGACACTTTGGGTGTTACAAAGCGCTCTCCTGGGTGAGATAAATACCAGCATGGGTAACGGTGGTCTCTGCACGTTGGCCCCAGGCCCAGTCCTAAGCACTCCACCTGGTTGGGTCCAGAGTGGCATTCCTGTGTGTAGATGAAGAGTCCATGGTTCAGAGAAGACGAGCATTTGCCCAGATCACATGCCGGCGAGGGTGCCTGCACTGGCTTCTGGGCCTCTTCTCTAACTTCCTGAGGCTCAGCAGCTGATCATGGGAGAGGCGATGCCACTCCTGGGCAGTGCCCAGTGGGTCAGAAGCTGGGTACATGGTGAAGCCTGGTGTGGTGATGACCCGAGGACACTGCCTGGTAGCCAGGAGCCTGTGCCCGCCTGCAGCCCACCAAAGGTGACCCTGGTGACAGTCCTTTGGGCTCCGCCTGAAGGGTTAGACTGTGTGATCCCCAAGGCCCGTCCTGCAGGGTTCTGAGGGGCCCCTCAGGAGATAACCCTCCAGAGGTGCCCCTCACCCTGTGGCTAGGCCCTTTCCGCAGCTCTGCCCTGTTTCTAGGATTAAAATACCTCTCACCAAAAATCCAGTCTTCCAACCCTCAGAGGAGCACAGGGGACATCCCAAGGGCACCTGGGGGCCCTTGGCTCTGACTGAGTCCCTGTTCCCAGGGCAGCACAAGGCTTATGCTCCACATCCCTGAGGCTCAGCCAGGTCTGCAGGACGGAAGCCTGCTGTAGGCTAGGCCTCAGCACACGGGGGTCTCGGGGGCTGGGGGTCCCATGGGGATGCTTAGGGCAGGGCAGATGCCAGGCATACGTCCCGGCCACAGACTGCACAAGAATGGCCCATTCCCACCCCTTATGCCTCAGAGGGGAGGAGCTGACCCAGTATCGCCCCCACACCCCACGTGGACCCTCTGCTGAGAGCCCAGGCTGCCCTCAGCTCCTGGGAATATATCTGGAACACTGTGCGCTCTGGCCCAGTGCCCCACCCCCGTCCATGCCCCGCTGTCCAGGATCCTGAAGCCCACACAGATGGGTCAGATGCCTGGGGTCCCCAACGCACGGCCCCTCTACAGAAACCCACATCTGGTCTCACCCCAGACCCACAGAGACCCCGGGGGGGTGGGCCAGTCCAGGGACAGGGGCCTGCAGTGAATGGGTGGCCGGGGATGAGTGGGGAGAGCAGAGAACAAGGAAAGGAATCGTCCAGGGGAAGAGGGCTGCCGCCCAGGTGGGGTGAAGAGGAGGCACTCAGGTGCTCAAGACGGTGAGACCCTGGGAGTGTGGAGCCAGAGAGGAAGAGACCAGTAGGGGCTCCAGGGTGCCGTCCATCTCTCTGTGGCCTCGAGGCTTGGCACTACTGCCCCCCCAAAATTCCAGGGGATCAAATTGAGGCAGGACCCTCTGATGCAGGTGACCTAACTGCCCCTGAGCTGAGTCCCAGACCAGCTTCCAGGTGAGTGGCACTGCCCCTTGGCTGGCCTAGTCCGGTCTGATGGACACCTCTGCTGGTGGCAGGGCCAGGGCCAGAGTGCACGGCCCATGGTGGACAGGCCTCTCAGAGAAGTAAGGCCATGGTAGAGGGAGAGGGGCAGTGGAGCGCACCTACCTGAGCTGCTGGCGCTCTCGGAAGCGCTCCGCGACATCTTGGGCTGGCCGTGTTTGCCGCTGGCCCGCCCGGGCCCAGGTGGAGGGGGGCCAGAGGGAGCAGGGGCGCCATCTCCCCTGATAGTGCTGAGGTCCTGCATGCTGAAGCTCCGGAGTCTCTCTGACAAGGCGCCCTGGCCCTGGGCACAATACAGGGGGACACACATCAGAGGCTAGACATGCCAGGCCAGGAGCCCTGACCTGAGGGTCAGCGAGGTGGGAGTCAAGGTCTAGATGGACCCTGCAGAGGGCAGTGCTGGACACAAGATGGTCAGCCCGGCTCGGGCCAGACACCTACGGAAAGCTGGGGACCCAAACAGACTCCACGAGGGGACCACGCCTCAGGCCCTGCCACCAGGAGCCACGCACAGGAAGGTCCTCATCCAGCTGCGTCTCCTTGGTCCTCAACACACAAGCATCTCTTCAGAAAGCCAGACCCTGATGTGCTCAGTCCTCGGTCTTTTCAAGGGAAATAGAACAGGGTTTTTAATGTACGACGACATTCGCCTCTTTTGTCTGTGCAGCTATCACTGTTCATGAGGCTCATTGTTCACGCTGTGCGTTTGCGCTTCGCAAAATATCCACAAGGTGCGGAAGGGAAGGAAAATGGTCTATTTTTAAAACCCACTGATCATGATCACTTCCTTGTCTGAAGGAGCCACGGAGTGAGTCCTGGGAGGGGCATCATTATTTTAAGAAATCAGGAAAAATCATTATACTGGCTGCGTAGGAGGAGCATCTCGATGGAGAGTGAGGTGCTCCTGGTGGCACCCTAGGGCCAGCCTCACCCAGCTGGGCCTCAGCTGGGTGGGACAGGGCTGGCAGGAGACTGAGAAATGTCTGGGGTTGGGGAAGGGTGATGGGCAGCAATGCTCAGGCAAGTCAGTGAACTGAGGCAGCTCAGAAGCCCATGCTGATGGCCTCAGGTGCCCGTGGTGGTGGGGATAGGAGAGGTAGTTTACTTAGATAATGGAGGGAAGAATGGTTCTGGAGGTCCACAGGAGGTGGGGACAGTAAAGCACACAGAAATAACAGAGCCCAAATCAGCAAGAACTGGTCAGAGCTGCTTCGGCAGGACTCAGGCCTCTGTGAGTTCAAAGAACAAGCCCGGGCCCCCACTGCATGGCAGGGGCTGTCAGAGATGGGGGTAGGGCTTGCAGAGATCTTTTTCTTTTTTCCTTTTTTTTGTGGGGGTAACATGGATGCTTAACCACTGAGGTATGTCCCCCGGCCCATTTTATTTTTTTTTAGAGACAGGGTCTTGCTAAGTTGCTGAGGCTGGCTTTGAACTCTTGATCCTCCTGCCTCAGCCTCCTGAGTCACAGGGATTACAGGCCTAATATTTTTTCATGTTACTTAATAAAAAAATCATAGCAATATAATTAAATCAACGAAGCACACTGACTCGCTGACATCGAAGTTGCAGACAGGATAAAGAAGCCAAGGCAGGAGCATATGGAGGGCTGACGGGGGGCTAGGAGAACTATCAGGGTCAATAAAGCAGCGATTCTTCAGAAGGTGAGATAGCAGCTCCCAAACTACCAGAGTACAAAAACTGTGTGCTGCAAGCCAACAGTAACCCAAAGAAAACTAAATAATCAGAGACCAACAACCAGGTGTACCAACCCAAGCTTGGAGAACATTACATGAACTAAGACTCTGCTCTCGATGGCAGGAGGCAGGCTCTCAGGCCCCACTTCCTGGGGCCTCATCCAAACCTCACAGCCAGCAGCCATGGTTAGCTCACTTTACCCAGAAATGTTTCTGTGACATGTGTAATGTATTTCTTTATTTTTGTGATGCTGGGGATGGACCCCAGGCATGCTACGCAAGCGCCGACCACTGAGAAACACCCCAGCCTGCCATTTGGAGTTTGGAAGGCTGAAATTGATTCTGGAAATGTGAGCAGATATTTTGATAATTATGCCTGAGTGCAGCCGCGTGAGGCTGATGGCAGGTCCAGGTGGCCGCTTGCTGATGCGCTCTCTCCCTGTTATTTACTCACACACTGAGCAGCAATTTATTGGGCACTTTCCATGGCAGCACCCTGCATTGGGTGTTAATAGGAAGGGGCAAAAAGACAGCTCGGTGTCTGACAAAGTATAAAAAGAGAAAAGTGCAAATAAGAACCCAAGTGCACATCAGAGGCCACAGGAAGAGGAGACGAGGACACAGCTGTGGGGGAGGCGGGGTCCATACTCCCCTGGACTGTGGCACAAATGGTGTCCTCTGCCTCTCCACTTCAGAGCCCATCTGCAGAGGAGCTGCTGGCCACCTGGGTGCTGGTGAAGACTCAGTGAGATGACCCCCTCAGGCACCCCTACAGAGCCCCCCACTACTTTCTGAGGCACTTAAGCTGCTGTTGAAATTGAAGGAGAAGATTGTTCTGGCCCAGAAGACCAGGAGGGGCCCCAGGAACCCAAGCCCATATGAATGGCCAGGGACAGACTCTATCAGCATGGCTGCCGGTTCTTTACATGCTCAGATCTGAGGGAAACAGGAGTGGCCTCACACGTGTCCATCTGCTCTCCCAGGAGCCAGCCAGTCAAGGTCCAATGTCACCAGCATTGCAAAGACTGACGGGGCAGGGCCAAGGATACATAGGACAGGAGTAGCTCTCTATCCACCCTGTCCCCTGTGGAAATCAGAAGGCTCCTGAAAACCAGTTAGCACCGTGTCCCAATTTCATGGGCAACAGTTGCCTTCTTAGATGGTAGTTAAGATGGCAGCATGCCAGAAGCCACAGTCCTTAGACATAGTGGGCTCTGGCTGCACAGGGCAGAGCCACCTTGGCTAACTGTTGCGCTCCAGGCTGCTCTTACTGCAGCCAGGCGCTTTGTCTGGCCACATGCCAGTCACTTAACTCCAGCACGGTTAGTTGCTGTGCTTCCCCTCCAGCTTGGCTACTGCAGACTTGGACCCCTACTCTGCTTGATGGACACCAGGGTCAGGGAGCTGAACAGATGTCCGTGTCACCATTCATTGAGCTGCTGCCTGAGTACAGTGCAGCAGGAGACCCCACCCCACTGGATGCACTGCAGGTCCCAGACAGCATCCTGTGAGGGGGGTCTTGGGTGTGACCACAGGAGTGCATGAGAGTGTCAGGGGGTGAAGAGTGAGAGGCCAGGAGTCCTGGGGTCCTGCCCTTGACCTGGCCTTGGAGGGCTTGGACCAGGTGGAAAGAGAAGCATATTTCTCAGCCTGAGTGGCACCCTCCACCCACCACAGTGGGGGTCTGTGCAGTTCTGTGTGCTACAGGGTGGGGGCCACGCAAGCATCTGACCATGGAGGCGTGCTTCCCAGGCCTCCGGGCAGGCGGCTGGGAGGAGTGGGCCTCACTCTTCACCACACCCCCTCTTGTCCCTGAAGAATTTGGGAACGTGTGTTCCCTTTAAGGAAGCAGTATGGTTCACCCATCAGTCCTCAAGGCCACCCTGGAGTCCCCATCTCATGAGCACAGGCTTTGTGTGACCCTCACATATGCCCCTACACCAGACACTGGCAGGGAGGGCTGGAAACAGCAAAGGAAACAGTTAAAACAGAACCGAGAGAGAGGACATGGGGTTTCCACCAGGGACCGACTGCCCCCCTCCAGGAGGCGCTCGTCCCGGGGACCCGCGAGCCACAGGAGAGGCACCACACGGCATCAGCCCATCCATACCACGCGGAATCTAATGCTCTACGGGCACAGTGACAGTAATGGCAACCAGTTTAGTGGTCAGCAGTTGGCAGCAGCCACTAGTAAGACCAGGTCCCTCCCGCAGCTGGACAGGTTAGTACTCTCCCCACTGGCGCCCGTGCTGACAGTGAGGCCTGCTCGGCACACACCCCCCAGAGCCAGGCAGGAGCCTCCTCATGCTGCACGGAGGTCAGCCTTGCTCATGAGGAAGATGGGACCCACCAGCCCGGAGAGGGAGTCAGGCACCCACCACAGCAGCCCCGGCAAGTCCAGGCAGCGAGGGAGGAAACCCTGGAGGTTAAGCAGGCGTTAGACGCTACCTAATGACACACCACCAGGCACCAGAGGACCACAGGTTCACAAGCACCGCACACATGGGGCAGGAAGCCACCGCCACTGAGCCAGACCAGGGCCACAGGGACAGCTGGGCCTCAGCCACAACTGGGTCAGCTTAGGGTTAGTCACACCTCTCCACAGGGTTACCTGCCCTTCCCTGTGGTCCAGAGAGGAGGCAAAGTGAAAGAGTCGAGCCACCTGATGAAGGGGAAGAGGGGACACAAATGAAGAGACAGCCCCAGCCGTGGGCACAGATGACACATGGAGTGGCCAGAGCTGCATCCGCCTCCTGCCCTCCTTCAGGGCTCCCTGGTCAGTGCTCAGCCTGCTGGGGTTCCAGAGCTGCTCCCTGGATCCCTGGTCATGCTCAGCCCCCGTGGGATACCCAGGGCTGGTCACCCTCTCAGCCCCCCTGGGACACCCAGGGTTGGTCACTGTCTCCCTGGTCACCCTCTTAGCCCCTGCTGGGATGCCCAGGGCTGGTCACTGGCTCCCTGGTCACTCTCTCAGCTACACTGGGATGCCCAGGGCTGTCACTGGCTCCCTGATTACTCTCTCAGCCCCCCGGGATGCCCAGGGCTGGTCACTGGCTCCCCGGTCACTGGCTCAGCCCTGCTGGGATGCCAGGGCTGTGGTGTCCTGCATAGGGGTGGGGTGGGGGCCATGGGGTCTGCCCAAGGAGGTCAGCTCTAGCTAGGTGTGGGCCAGGAATAAGGACAGCAACACGTGATGGGGCCGGGGGTGGGGAGGTCACACTGCTGGCTGGACACTGGGCCATCAGTGGAGGCCTCTGCACAGGTAGATGGGCAGGGCCAGGGTATGAGCATGGGAAGCTCAAGGCACCTTCAGGACACTGTGTGGGCCCACCTGGAAGAGGAGGCCCTGGTGCGGGTCGCGGGATAGGAATGGAAAACCGGGCTTCGGTGGCAAGGTGTGTTCTTTGACCAGAACCTGAACACATCCCTGGCGAGGGCGGGGAGGTGAGCAATGGGAGGGTATTGAAAGCAGATGTTAGAACAGTCAGAACCTTCTGGACACTTAAGGCCGCACACACGGAGGACTGGCCCAAGGGCTTCCTCCTCTTTCCCCTTAGTTTGCAGCTGGCACGTGGACACGGGGAAGAAG